CGACCAGTAATTTGAATATTAAAAAAAAAAATCAATTATAATCAATTATAAAATTAATAAATTCAAATTTATTGATATTTCAACATGAATAATATTTATATTTCAAGAATCAAATTCTTTCTATGCAGATAATTTAATTTCATTTCACAATGTAGTTATAATAATTATTATTATAATTTCAACATTAACAATTTATATTATTATAGATTTATTAAAAAATCATAATATTGAAATTATTTGAACAATTATTGTTCTTTTAATTATTTGTTTCCCATCATTAAAAATTTTATATTTAATTGATGAAATTATTAATCCATTTTTTTTCAATTAAATCAATTAGTCATCAATGATATTGATCACATGAGTATTCTGAATTTAATAATATTGAATTTGATTCTTATATATTAAATTATAGAAACTTAAATCAATTTCGATTATTAGAAACTGATAATTATTCCAATAAAAATTCCATTATGATTGATTACTTCCTCAATAGAATTACAATTGGAATAATGTTCGATATTCGATGATGCAAAAAAAAAAAGAAAAAAAAATGAATATTCTCACCTGTGTATGCCAGCATAGTTGAAAAAGTCAAAAGTGTAAGTTTGCTGGTGTATAGTTCCATTATCGACAGCAGTTTCGACAATTTTTCCTTGGGGGACACTTGTTTGAAGCAAAGTATTATCAACTGCAACTGTTATGCGATTTTTACCGCCGTAAATCAAATACGAAGATATCTCGGCTTCGAATGGAAGATGACCGATTTCATGGTTAGTTACAAAGTCATTGTTTATCCACTATAACGTGAAAGGGAGTACTTATGTGTAAAGAGAAACATTTAAACGATCTTAATTTTCTTCTTTCTAATATTAGCTCAACATCATCATAAACGACGAGAGTGAATTGCTTCTATTCTTGATATACCCGTTGATCGATCTAATTCAAAGATTTTATTTAGTTCACTTTTTGAAGAATGTCATTTGACGACAAACGATGGAAGTAAACGAAAGTGTTAATTGCCAATCTCGATGATGAAATTTTTGGAGGAAATAACGTATATCACTTTATCGATAATGATTTACCTCTGTGCCAAAAATCCTGCTTAAAATTCAATGGTGATGTAATTTTTTTTTTTTTTTTGGAAATTTAAACAATATTTTACAGATATATAATAAAATATATATATATATTGAACATGCATATTAATAATTGGTAAAAAAAAATCACGATGAAAGACAAATGATTGGAAAGACAAGATGTTTATTAAATATAAAATAATTACCACTTGTGCGAGATAATGCACGGAGCCAAATCTGACAAAGACCCTTTGCTCTCGCCAAGAGGAAGGCACGAAGAAGGTTCGTTGATACCAAACAGCGCCTAAGTGATCCCTCAATTCGCTGGATGTTGTGATGTCATTATACGACGAGGGAACGGGCATTTGCATCACTTTTCCCACCTATAAGACGAGAAGTGGTCCATATTAGTGAATCCTTGTGTCGACAACATCCTTGTGTAATTTTATGAAAATTAATATTTACGAAACTTCAAGTTCCATATGTTTGATAAGTGGGATATGAAATCATTTATATTATGTGATTAACGCTTTAAATTCATTTCAAATCGTAAATTACGCGATTCGATCGAAAAATCTACGATTGATTTTCTTCAAACTTTAATCAGTTCCATGATTATAATTATGAGAGCGTTTATATTAATATTAATATCGCTTTTTTGAATTATTCAAATCGATAAAAAAATACGTTATATTTTCATTAGCAATAATTGGGATTAATATGATCAATTTTACAATACCTTTGATAATTCATCTGCAAACCATGCTTCTTTATAACCCTTAAGCGTATCTCCCGATGGAGAAATCACAAAATCCCACATACCATCCAATGATTTCACCTTAATGAAAAGTTAATTCATTAATTTAATAATTAAATAAATTTTGAAAATTTTTAAATTTCACATTCGTCTTTATTTAGTGAGATAAAATTTAATTTTGAAAAAGAGAATTTTTTTTTCATGTTTTAAAATATAACATACCTACGTTATCTATTTTATTTGAATAATTAAGATTGTGATATGATATTTAAAAAATAAATAAATAAATAAATAAATATTTTATAAAAAGATTTTGTGATGATACAACACAACGGGGAAAGGTTTGAAAGATTACTTCTCGCGATTCACTTTCTCGTGGATAGAGCATTCCAGGAAGAGGCGATGGTGCTTCTTCTTCCTTTGGTAAAGGTGAATATTCTATATTCGGTGTTTCAGGATACTCGAATTCTGGTCCCAATTCTCCGCCCATCACCGCGCTAATTGAAAGGAAAACTAGACACCACATTTTTCCTGCTAATTATTCTGAAAAGAAAGGGAAGATGAAATATTAAAATTCATTAATAAATATATTTTTGTTTATTTCGAATAAGATAAGAAATTTTTAATTTTTAAATAATTTCAATTAGCATTAGTTAAGAATATTTTCGTGATTACGACGAAATTTTATTAATACGTAATATTTTATTATTAAATATCGAAAAGCTTTAGATGAAAATGATAGAAATGATAGATGATAAATTTTTGCCTTTTTTGTTGCAATGTTGTGTTACGCGTATTGCACACGCTATTTCAAAATTATTTTAATTTTTCCTCTTATTATTTGTATATATATATATATATAT